GCGAGCGTGGGTTTAGAGAAAAGTAGTACATTTTCTTATTTGGAACAAGTTTTTCTTTTCTTGATCCTCGATGAGAACTTCGATATCGAGGATGTTGACAAAACTCTGTATTTATCTAATTCATTGTCTTCCTTCCGATAAATCATGCACTCGTTGTTGACAACAACGAATTTTTTCATCGGTAAACCCATCCCCTTGACTAACTTCTTTGTTTCATAAAAGTTATTTATCATATAGTTATCAACTAGTATCAACTCCTTCATCGGCTCACATAGCTTGGTTGAAACATTTTTTTGAAAAATGATAGTCAATTTTTAGGTTAAACATTCGAGCAACTACCGACAATTGTAAATGTTCATCACAACTAGCCTAAATCTCTCTATGTGATGCATTCAACATATCATAAAAGTGTTGGGCGCTAGGATTAGGAACCTCCTACGTGTTGAACATATCAAAGATGGATCAAGCTGCATCCATTGCCATACTTTGATGTGGGTAGTTTTCGAGTTCACTAAAACTACCTTCGCCTATATAATCATTTTCAAAAACATGTCGACTCCAAGATTTTTTAGATGTCATATAGGTTTCAAATTCACCATGATGCACCCAATCATAATATCCTAGCATAAAACCTTTACGACATAAATGATATTTGACCATTTCAATCTTTTCATAATTTTGGTTTTGAAACTTACCGAAATTATAAGGACACCTAATTTTGATTTCATCCATACATTCATGATGCTCAGCGACAAAAGCTAAAAATTATTCTACACTTCTAACAAAGTCATCATTTAACAATCCGTTAACTAATTTAAAATTCATCTATTGTCAATCGGGTCTCATTTTTTTAATTACTTGCAAAAATAACACAATCATTGCAAACAATTACTTTTCATCATTCCGAATAATTTTAAATAAATATTAAGCACATATATTACTTGTATAATTGTCTCTAATTAGTTATGAATTTTGTTTAAGAATTTGACTCCCTATTTAAATAATTATTTAAAGAATGATTACATTTTTTTTTTAATAAATACATAATTTGTTAAAATTCAATTATTTTTGGTGTAATTTTTTCTTTATATTTTCTACCTTAGGTCCAATATATAATAACGTAAGCCTAACATAAACCAAACATTTAACCTAATTTAAACTACCTTAGGTAATTTAAGGTAATTAGATTATCATTTTCACTTAAAAAATGTTAAATTACATTATAATCTAATTAATTTATGAAAATATTCAACTAAATTTATTTTAATTAAACGCTAACTAAAATATTTATTTAATTCTATTAATTAATAAAAAATTTATAAAATTTTAATGTTTATTTTAGTTTTTTAATTATATTTTTATTCAATTGTTTTTCGAAAAGATCAAATCATTATGCATGTTAACTTATTTCAATTTTAATAATTAAAATAATAAAATTACTTATAAAATTTACATTCGAAATGACTAAACTATGCCAAAAATTATATAATTTCAACCAAATTTAACTAAACTACGTCAAAAATAATTAAATTAACCTAACACTAAAAACAAATAAATATATAATTAATTCACTTAATTAAATTAACAATTTAAGTTTAAATAATTAAATTTTAATCTAACAACTCAAAATTAATAAAATTTAAATTTTTAAGGTTTATGTTAATATACGGATTAACCTAACAATTAACAAAACAACAAAATAAAACTTAACAAAATTAACCTAACGAGTTATAAAAATAAAATAACAAATAACAAATAACAAATCTAAATTACTATACACAACTTAACATAACAAGATAACTAACAACATTCAAACAATTAATAAACTAACAAATAACAAAATTTAACTAAAAACTTATAACATTTATCTAATTAAAGAAAAATATATAAAAGTTAGAGAGAGAAAGTTTTATCGATAGATCAAGGATAGAAAATACAAATCGATCCGATTTTGAAGTAGAAAGATACCCCTCACTTTGTTGAATGGTTTTGAAAAAGATTTAGTAGTGTGGGGTGGCGTGGGTGGGTGTTTTTGTGGGCGACGGCGAAAAGGGAGGTGTGGTGGAGGTGAGGGAAACAAATAGAGAAGAAGGAGGAGAGGGATATATAAAGGCAAAATAGCAATGGATTCGATTCTATCACTAATCTATCACTAATTTGGGGAGAAATTTCCCCTAAATTAGCGAAGGATGCCATATCCGTCATTAATTGTGTGCCATTTTGGGCGAAAATTCCCCCAAAATGGCACAAAATTAACGACGGGCTTGATGTCCATCGCTAATTTTATAAGATTAGCGATGGATTCCAAAATCCATCGCTAACTTCACTAAATTATGAGAATTGTAGTGATGAAAAAAATCTCGTCGCTAATTTTTTCATTTAGCGACCATACAACCATCATTAATCCGTCGCAAAACGCAACCTTTTATAATCCGTCGCTAATGTGTCACTAAATAGCGATGGATTTTAATCCATCGTTAAATGTTGTCGTTAATTAATATTTTTTGGTAGGGATTGTTTTACACATCAACTTCAATTAACACTTGTAGGTCGTTGCAAAAAATCACATGTCTATTACCTTGCTTTTTAGTTTAGTTTCAAGTGTTGTAAATGATGTTGGGGGATTTTGTAAATGCCATAATATGCTTTTAAAGTTTTAAGCTATCAAAGTTTTAAAGGCAATTGAAAATGGTGAACTTGAAAGTGGGCAAGGAAAAAATCAAGAGTCTACTATTAAATGAGTTGGAGAGACACGATAAGGTTCACATTACACTATTTTGATTAGCTTTATTAAGATATTTTGTTTTATTGTTGATGTCCTTGAAATCGTTATGGAAAATAAAAAGTTTGACCAAAAAGTTGAAGCTCGCACTTTATTGGATTCATTGTAATCTTTGATATTTCATTTTTTCTTCATTTGATGAAACGTATATTAGCAACTACTCATGAATTATTATAAACATTGCAAAGGAAAGATCAAGATATTGTGAATGCTATGACCTTAGTTAAGATAACTAAACAATACTTGCAATTAATGTAAGATAATAGATGGAATTCGTAGTTGGATAAGATATCTTTATTTTGTACTAGACATAATATATAAGTAAGTAATATGGAAGATACATATATTGCTAGGGGATGGTCTCGACGTAATACTAAGAAAGTGACAAACATTCATCATTACAAAGTAGAGTTATTTTGTGCGGTTATTGATTTGTAACTTCAAGAGCTTAATAATTGGTTTGATGAGGTGAATACGAGTTGCTTTTATGTTTTGCATGCTTGAGCCTAGCTAATTTATTCTCTATTTCCGATAAAGATAAGTTGCTTTGTGTTGCTCGGTTTTATCTTGTTGATTTCTCTCGTTATCCTATTCTTTGCTATTGAAAATAAGTTGGTAACATATATCATTCATATGAAGTTTGGTTGTAAGTTTCTCACATGAATACTTGTGTTTGGATAGAGTGAAAAACTAGGGAGAGGAAAGAAAAGTGTTGAGGAAAGAAAATTTTAACCTATTTGGTTTTCAAATGAAACCTATGGAAAGAAAAAAATAATAAACAAATTTAAAGGTGGTGGGAATCACTTTCCTCTCTCAAAATTGGGAGGAAAGTGAGAGAAAATCATGCCAAAATATAATAAAAAAATAAAAAATAGAAGGTATTGTCATTTTTTCCTTCAAAATATTTAAATATAGAAATGTAATAATATGGGTATTATAGTAAATATACAATAATATATGTTCTTTCCTCCCTCTTTCGACAATTATCTAAAAAAGAAAAATATACTTTCTTTCTTATGATTTCTACTCTTATTCAAATAACAAGTGAAAATTAATTTTCTTTCCTCTCCCTTTTCTTTCCTTTTATTTTCTTTCCTCTCTTTTCTTTCCTCCCAAGAGGAAATATCCAAACACAGGGGAAAATAATTGGTGATCTTGCTGAAAAAATTATACGGACAAAAAAAGATATTTTGTATCAATTGGTTTATAGACTCATCACTTTAACCCTTATTCTACCGAGTTACAACCACTACAATTGAGAGAGCGTTTTTTGTTATGAAATTTATAAATAATCTGTTACCTAATAAGATGGGAGATCAATGAATGTCCGATTGTTTGATCATATATATTAAAAATGATATATTTAACACTATTGATAATAAACTTATCATACGTCGCTACCAAGACATGAAGAATCGTAAAAAACAATTGTAATTTTTTTTATTAAAGAATGTTTAAGAATATTTTTTGTTTGAAATATTTAACTATTTTATTTCTTCATTTATGTTAGTATGGATTGTATTAGGTTTTCTTTTAATGTATAAGATTATTATATTTTGTCCTTTTTAATTTCAAATCCTAGCTTCGTGGTACTCAGCCATATAGTGGAGGGCCCCTCTTATGGTCGAATCATTCTTCAGCTCGATGGTTACTGCTTTCTGTACCAAATCCTTGAAATGCAAAAAGAACAACTGCATGCACTAAAATCATATTATTAAATTTATGATAATAATTCACATTCAAGAGAAGGGAAGAGTAGAGAAAAATAGAGATTGCTTACCATCTATAATCTATCTACGTAACGTTGAGCAGCTTATTGGCTCTACTGTTGCACTGCTCTGCTTTGCCTGAATCGTTATCGAATGAATGTCGTACTCTTAACATACCTGCTTTGCTGTGATGAGCACGTGAGTTGTGACCTTTTCATTCATCACTCCTTACTCCTTACCCCTTCCCTTCCCTATCTAACTAAATCCTTATAAAAAGAAAACACCAAAGCAGTGTGTCGGCTTTCTCCTTTCTTTCCTCTCTCTCTCTCTCTCTCTCTCTCTCTCTTTCAACCTCACGCTCATCGATCCAGAGATAAGCCAGCCTCTTTACTCAGCTACATGCACTGCTCATTTTCCATCAGGTTCAGCTTCTCTTCTGTTTCTTTCAATTTCTGATTTGGATTTCATTTTCTCTTTTAAATTTGTAATCTCTCTTGTTCTAATTAGAAATGGCGTCTGTCCAAGCTACTGCTCTTTTGACATCGGTTGTAACCAAGAATGGCAATACCAGTGCCTTCTTACCACCTGGATTTTCAAGTGCATCATCAGCGGAATGCAAGGAGTTTTGCGCTCGCTCTCTGGCTTCGGGCGTCAGAGCTACTTTAACATTTGATCCACAAACAACTATGCAAAAGAAGCGCACTGTCGATCCTTCTTCTCCTGATTTTCTTCCTCTTCCCTCTTTTGAACACTGTTTTTCGAAGAGCACCAAAGAATACAGGTTTCTTCTCTTTCACTTTTTTATTAATTTTTTCACTTCCCCTTTTTATGTCTTTCCTTCTTCAATCCACACATACACGTGATGTTGTCTGTTAGTTAGATGACGTGTCGCTCATAGTGAGAACAGACTTTGTCGTGTTGGTCCACTTATTTGATTTGATCTAGGAAAGATATAAAAAAGGAAAGTGAAAAAATAAATAAAAATGTGAGAGAGAAGAAACCTGCATTCTTTGGCGCTCTTTGGAAAACAGTGTTCAAAAGAGGGAAAAGGAAGAAAATCAGGAGAAGCATCGGCAGTTGGCTGCTTTTGCTTAGTTGTTGGGGATGAGTTCAATGTTGTGTTACTTTGCCTGCTGGATGAGTGAGGGTTGGATTAATGCTTGGGTTTTGTTTGGTGGCAATGAGTAGCTTATGCTGTTCCTTTCTGGGTAGGTTGACATGGTCGGAGACTGTGGTATTCGAGTTGTTGTTGTTTGGGATTGAGAGGCGAGAATGCGTTTTACTTTCAGCTTCAGTTTCAGCTTTAAATAGAGAGGAAGTTCTGAACCAGATTCGATGGGAATCAGAATTAAATAAGAATCCTCGTAGATAGTGCCGCTGCCGCCCCTATTCATACATGATAATGGAGAAGAGAGTTTCTTTTAGGCGTTTTTGAAATGCGTGCAGATGACAGGTTGCAAACAGGAGCCATCTTCGAATAAGCTTTAGCAATTTGACATTCTCTTAGAAATTTTTTATGCTTGATTGCATAATGATAATGGAATCAGTTTCTTGTAAGTCGACTTTACAATTTATAATCAATAGCACCACTCTCTTCGACAAAAGAAGGTCGAAAAAGGGTGACCGTCCATTATTGTATCCATTTAATATTATTTTACTTTATTATATCCAGTTTTCAAATAAAGGAAGCGTCGGTTGTATTTTAACTACGATTTTCACTCATTAAAAAAACAAAAAGGTCGTTTAACGAGTAAATTTATAAATAAAAGCACAAGTCTTCTTTTTAAAGAAGATGAAACTTCAAATATTCGTATGAAAATGATAGGCAAATGATTGAAGTGAAAGAATAATCAATTTTTTATTTTTTTAATGATAGAAATGATAGGTCTTAAGCCAAAAAGAGCACGAAGGTATATATAGTGCATGTTTAAATCACATGACCAATTCTCAACAAACCCTTTTGGCCGGAGCATTGCATATGCCTTGCTGGAGGAAACCACGTATAAATAAGTGATCATTGGTCACTTTGAAATGTGGGGGAATTTTTTACCATTAATTTTATCCCACGTAGGAAAGAGAAGATAAAAAATGTACGGTCCAAATATCCTCTCTTTCATATGCATTATAAGAAAATTGACAATTAGCGATGGATCAAATTTCATCTCTAATTAAAAATGAATTAATGACGGATTTGTGACCAATGAGAAAAAGTTGATTTTTGCGACTAATTAGCGACAAGCATAACGAGAAAAAATAAGTGACAAACAAAATTCCATGTCTAAGTTGTTGCAAACTAATGCGGAAAAAATAAGTGACGGATTTAGCGATAGAATATTGATCGATTTCGTCACTAAATTATTTCGAGTCTAAAGTAGCGACGAATTGGATATTCGGCGCTACTTCCCTAGCTAAACTAGCAACGGATTACCAATTCGTCGCTAATGTTAGCTATTGGGAATTCCCTAATAGGTTAGAACTAGCGTCGGACTACCATTTCATCGTTAATTTGGGTTTTTTGGGGGAAATTTCCTCCCAAAAACTATCAAAAATTATGTCGCTAATTTTGAGAATTTTGGAGGGAAATTTCTCTCCAAAAGGGTCAAAATTAGCGATGGACTATTGGTCCATCGCTAATTTTGGGTTTTTGGTTCAACAAGGGATTAGTGACGATTTGCTTCCGTCGCTAATTTCCCTATATATTCCCCTCTCCCTTTCTTCCTCTCCCATTTGGCTACTCCTCCCCTCCACAAAAATTTTCACCGTTGGCCACAAAACCACTACTCTCGCCACTCCAACCCCACCAAGTGACTTCCTAACCCGTTCAACAAAGTGAGGTGCACTTTCTCTCTCAAAATCGTATCGGATCCGTGCTCTCTCTCCTTGATCTCTCGGGTAAAACTTTCTCTCTCTAACTCTTACATATTTTTTTTAAAGTTAAATAAATTTTATAAATTTTTAGATAAATTTTGTTATTTATTAGTTGATTAATTATGTGAATGTTATTAATTTTCTTGTTATGTTAATTTTTATGTATTAGTGTAAATTTCTTAATTGTTATTTAATTTCATAACTATTAGATTAATATTTTTAAGTTTTATTTTTTATTTATGTTAATTCTTAGGTTAATTTTTAGAATAACGTAAAGCTAAAAAAATTTAATTATGTTAATTTTTAATCATGAGGTTAAATTTTAATTATTAATTATTTTTATTTATTTATTTATTTGTGTTAATTATTAGGTTAATTTAGTTATTTGTTTGTTTAACTTAATTTTGAAATTATATATTTTTTTAGGTACTTTAGTTAAATTTTGTTGATTATTTTTAAAATTTTTGATTGTTTTGTATCCATAAAAAATGATGTATTTTAATTTAATCATTTATTAATATACTCGACAATATATTTGTTATATTTTGTTTATTTGTTTAACGTTAGATCATATAGCAATGACTCGTGGTAATTGTTGTTTGCGTCGTCCTTCGTAGTCACTATCGGATCATGTTTCGATATTACGAACGAGCATCATCGTCCGATAGTAGTCCACTAGGATCACCTACTAGTATCGATCATGGTTCTCTAATGACGGGCCTTTTATGTGAGTCCCACGCTCTCGTAGTCATGGAGCTCGCACACTCGCATCGACAAGTGTTCCTACATTGACACTTGAGGTTCTACTCGTTGACCTCGCGAGAGTGGCCCCTCCATCGCATGCCTAACATTCCGGACGGTTCTCACAGCTCTTTCGGTCGGCGACGTATCTCTCGTCGATTGAAGACAATATGTAATTATTGTTTTACTTTAATATATAATTTCAATAATTCATATGTTGTTTTTAATTTTTCTTTTATCTTTTTTTTATTTGATAGTTTGACTCTGCCTAGTAGAGATTATTCTATGAAGATCTCCGAGATTTTTAAGCAACGGATAGCCAATAGTGGATCGTCTTGGAAGTCTATCACCAATGTCACTAAAGGCTTCTACTTCATTGAATTTTGGGTAACGTATTATCAATTTTCTTTATAATTACAATAAAAACTTCTCATCAAATAAAGTTTTTAATATTAATTTTTTTGTTCGTGCATAAATTTTTTGATTGGGATGTGGACATTGAGGTGTTTGTTAGAGCTGCATGGGAGAGAGTGGCCAAGAAATGTTATGCTAACTTCATCACAAGATCGGTAGGATATGATGAACGATCGACCTATTAATATTAGTCGGGAAGTTTGGGATGCGTGGCGAGCGATTTCGGGAGAGCCGATCACATGGCTCGTTCGGAGCAAGCTTCACGAAATTGGTTGTTGAAGATCGGTGGTCCTAATGTAGGTCCTTCTAGGCATATAGGGGGCTTCATATCTTTAGAAGAGCACGCTCGTCGTTTGATAAATTTCACTCTTTATTATTTTTTACTTATTTCGAGAAAATTTCAATTTTCTTCTCATATTGTTTGTAATGGATTTTTTTCAAGAAACAAAATTGGGTCATCGGCTAATGAGTTTTGAGTTATTCTAGATGACTCACAAGTAGTGAGATGGTTCATTCGTCGATCCGCGCTCCTAACAAACAATGGTAAGTATTTTTTAATTAAAATATTAAATATGAAAAGATAATTCAATTTTTTTTTTAATCTTATAATGATGATTTTGATTACGTAGGACCATGTGGAGCAACTCATCAATGAGGCGAGTTGCGGCTCGGATAACGGCAGGAATTATGGAGCCGAAGTTGACGAGAATGCCATATACCTCGAGGCTATCGGAGAGAAGAAAAAAGATTTTATGTTATGGGCACACGGTCGATGCATTATCTATCCTAATCAAGTGGCAGCAACTCCTCCTCTATGACATCGCATTATGTCGTTGACCCGGCTAACGAAGAGGTTCAAAGGGAGTACAAGGCTACGAAGGAAGCAATAAAAGGGATGCGGGTATTGCAAAATGAGCTCCAAAGCTCGATCTCGGAGCAGACGAAGCCAAATCTCGGAGCGACATTAGACCATTTATAGTCCGAAATCTCGGTACGACTTGATGACATCCTTAATGATGAGGTCGGCACAAATAACCGAGGTGCCTATAGACCCATCGGTCGGTTAGTAGTCTATTGTTCCTTCCACATAGCCTCTCGTTTCACCTTTAGTCGATCCTTCCACCAAGCTCTCCACATAGTACCGGGAGGAGGATATGGGATTAGACGAGCAAGATGAGTGATAGAGCATTTAGTCACTTTGTTTTTTTTTTTTTTTTTGAAACATACTCTAGAATTGTATTATTAATATTATTTTATTTTTAATATATACGTTGTTACTTATAATTATTAATTATTAAATTTAATATTAATAATTTAAAAATAATTATAAAATTATAAAAAAATAAAATAAAATTAGTGACGAACTAGTGACAAATTCATTTTCAAACTTAGTGATGGAATAGCGATGAACTAGCGATGAATTCATTTTCAAACTTAGTGAGGAACTAGTAACAAATTCATTTTCAAAATTATCAACAAAATAGAGACGGAATAGCGATAAATTATGTGGTGATGAAATAGCTACTAAAGAAATGACAAATATCATGACAAGATTAGCAAAAAAAAATTTCGAGTAGCGACGGAAAGTTCCTCACTAAAATTTATGATAGAATGAATTTTCCATCATAAAAAATTAAAGAAAAGCAAATTAGCGATGGAATTTTTCTGTTGTTGTTCCGTCGCTAATAGAGATTAGCAACAAAATATTTCATCGCTAATTGCTTCTTTTTTTTTTGTAGTGATGTGTCTTTTAAGGAAAGAAGTGGAGACCAAAAGAATCATTCAAAATTTAAAAAATATAAAGAACAAATAAGGGCTTAAAGAGAATGTTTTTTTATTATCAAATAACAACACATGATGATAAACCAAAGTCATCTCAAAAACACATGTGCCAAATAGGACAAGCAATACAATGTAAATGTATCGTGCATCACATTTTATCCAAAGATATCATAAATAAAAATATCTTATCCAACTTGTACCCTTCAATCACATAATCTTATACTATTCCACATTTTTTGGATTTAATAATAAACCTATATAAAGCCCATTGTCGAGGCAAATCATTAGTAACTCAATATTAATGGTTTGATCCATCAAAAATAAGATTAATTGAACCCTTGGTTCCAATCTCCTTCTTTTTCATGATGACAAAACATTAACATATTTTTAAGCTAAAAAATCACTCAACTCAATCTTTAATGCTCCACCTATCAAATGTGCTAAATAAATATACCAAAAATGATGTGTATGAATGAAAAAAAAAGAAAAAAGAAAAAAAGAAGAAGCTAAACTTCCCTTAGCAACTTGCAAACAAAAAAAATAAACCAATTTAACAACACGGAGCAT